GCTCGAGAGCAAATGAAAATGTTGGATTCTCTGGAGCCCCACCACTTCTCTTCCCCCTTCCTCCAACAACCTTTTTGCAAGACAGGGTCTCGGGAGGAGCCACTGGGGGGGCACCAGTGGGTCTCCTTCCATTCCCCTGCCCATCCTCCGCCATGTACAGCTGGGCTCCACGAAATCTGGAAGCAAGGTATGATCAGGAAAAATTCAGAGGGTATTATAGCACATTTCCAAGGACCATGGGTGGGGGGGAAAGGGATCCGGGAATTCTTCTGCGGACCTCATGGGGATGCCCGAATCTATCTGTAGCCAATCCTTGAATCTCAGATGATAATCCCTTGGGATCTCTTCTCTCTGACAAGCCGCCCTTCTTTCCTGATCTCCCCAATTCCCTGACCAACACACTTCCGCTACCCATCCCTCCCGGTCTCCGCCCAGCCATTCCCTGGAAAAATGAAGTATCCTTTCTTTAATGTCTTTAGCGCTGTGGAGGTTGTCCTCCTAGTACGTAGAATAGGTCTGAGTCTGGCATAGCAGTTCCTTAGTACGGGATGTCAGGGGTGTCAGGAGATACTGGGCCTTACCGCGGGGCCGGAACGGGCTCCAGGGACACACCAGGGATGGAGGAGTCCCAGCACTCTATCATCACCACACAACTGTGGTAGATGGGAGTCACTGTGCACCCTGTTGAAGACCTATAGTAGCATGTTCATACCTAGCTCCCGAAGTCCCCGTTTAATCGGGCTTGCACGACATCTGCTTCAACCGGGGCTGAGCAGGGGGTAGGGGTCTCTGCTTAGCCCGGGTGCCTGCAACTGCTGTCTGGTCAGGTCACCCGCCAAGATGGTGATGGGTGATGGTCCTGGGTGGTTTAACACTAGGGTAGGACAGGTGGGGTGGGGTTGCGCCAGGGCAAAAACGATGAGAGGAAGAGTGGGTGGCGTCTTCAGAGGGGTTTATCTGGACAACCACGTGGCCGAGTACTGTGGAGGACTGCCATCTGTCTAGTATCCCAATGTTACAACAACTGGGCTTTTTCTAAAATAAAAGGGGAAAAAGGGGGGGGGGGGGGAAAGCAAAGTTGAGGAATGGTAGCATGGTGCAAGGGGGTTCAGTAAGGGTTGTAAAGAAGAGACTGGCCGAGGATTGGAAGAAGATGGGCACCTACTCTATGTAGACCAATAAAGAAACCAGGAGGAGGTAGACAATGTTGCAGCCCTAGAGGAGGAACAGAATAGGCACACGACGAGGAAGCTGCTCATGAGGGAGAAGTTGCACAAGACAGGTGGCAAACGCCACATCATCAATGAAGACCAATAGCAGCGTCACATATACCAGAGGCAGCGCCACGTCAGCATGCCACGTAGACCAGAGGCAGCGCCACATCATCATGCCATGGAGACCACAGGCAGCACCACATCAGCATGCCACGTAGACCAGAGGCAGTGCCACGTATACCAGAGGCAGCACCACGTATACCAGAGGCAGCGCCACGTCAGCATGCCACGTAGACCATAGGCAGCACCACATCAGCATGCCTAGCGTACAATGCCAGCGTGCTGCCTCTCCCTCGTGTCGTTGTCCGCAGCTCTGATGCACAGCCAGCGTCTAGCCAGCGTCGCGCTAGCATAATGCCAGCGTCAAGTCAAAGTCAAGCCAGCGTTGAACCAGCATGGCAAGACTGAATGCTGACCACCTCGAGGTCAAACTTTTAGTGTTTGACGAGGCTCTCTGGCCTTGAGTCTCCTCCCCTCAGTCGTCCAGATTGAGTCACAGCCGAAGGCCTGGATTGTACAGTTGCAGAATTCCCCCTTGGACTTGATGCTGTCTGGGTACCTGCATACAAACAAATGTGTGTGCTTGACCGGTGGCCTGGACTGGATACCTTTGGACTTTGACTGGCGCGCACAGGCCCTGAATCCCTGTGTGGGGTCGCTTACCTCGTTTTTGGCCTGGCTGAGGGCGGCCAGATCGGCCCTCAGATTTCTACGAGACATACGGCATGGGTTATTGCACAGTACTCGGGGAGTCGTTTTGGGGAAGGGCCACATCCTGTAAACGGGGGACAAATCGAATCGCGAACAAATGCAGTGTGCGCATGTGTGTGTGTGTGTGTGTGTGTGTGTGTGTGTGTGTGTGTGTGTGTGTGTGTGTGATGATGTGCGTGCGTGGACACAAGTGGTTAACCGGGAACCCCACTTTCAGCTCCTGCGTAACAGGTCCAAAACTGAAATTAGGGTTTGGGGGTCTTTTTTTTTTTGGGGGGGGGGGGGGSGSGGGCTGTTTTTGTTTTGGTACTTCCTGAATGGGCTGCATGAATATAGTCTGTGCCATCATAAACACAAAACACACAACAAAGAACATTCAGCGTAGAGAGTATATAACCTGATCCCGGCAAGCCGTTTAATTTAAAAAAAAACATAGGGAGTGAACCGGCTGGTGGATCCATAACCCTTTCAGTACATTTTTCTAACTGCCCGACCCCCTCCTGTTGGGTACTCGAAGACTCTAACATCTCCCTCTCCCCTCTGTGGCCGCACCCCTCCCTCCCTCCCTCTGCCTGGAGTAAGTCCCATTGTTTGACATGTTTTCTTACGCATTTTTGACAGCTCCACCATCCCCACTTCTCTTCAACTTTCCACCATCCCCACTTCTTTCTCCTCCTCTATGTTCTAAAGTTGTGCAGAAGCTTTGTAATGCAGTGCATGTCTTGCCTGACTTTTTGTCTGGTCCCATGTTGTGCCTCCAGTAGCCCTGCCCCAAGATCCTTGATATACCTGAGGAGAGACTGCTGAAAAAGAAAAAGTGCACTCAGAAAAACAGAGAGTTGAACATTTCACTTATGATGATGGAATAGGAACACACAGGTGTGCTCATGGGGATGGGCACTGGTGCCAGAAACACATGCATCTGCATCACCCTTCTCGCGCGCCCACTCAGGTACACGGTACACCCACATAACTTCTGTTGTTTGCATGATCACAATCACAGAGACGCAGTCCACTTTCGTGCTAGAGCAACATAATTGGTATTCTCTCTCCTCAACTCACACAACGACACACAACTCTCTCTCCCATACGCAAAGGGGCCATGACTCGCACATTTTCCATTTCTCACAGTGCACAGACGTCTGCCTGTCTGTCTAAAGGGGCCATGACTCACACATTTTTCATTTCTCACAGTGCACAGATGTCTGTCTGTCTGTCTATCTATCTACGAGTTGATGGGTCTGTTGATCAGTCAGTCGATCTGTCCGTCCGTCCATCGTTTTGTCCGTATGTCCGTTCGTTAGTGCGTCCGTTGGTCCATTCGTTGGCCGATCCATCCGTTTGTTGGTCGGTCCTTCCGTCCGTCTGTGCGTCCATCGGTCAGGCAATCCGTTCGTCCGTCTGTCTTCCTTCCTGCCTGCCTGCCTACCTGTGTCTGTCCTCCCATCTGTTTCTCTGTCTGCCTGCCTGCCTGCCTGCCTGCCTCTCTCTCTCTCTCTCTCTCTCTCTCTCTCTCTCTCTCTCTCTCTCTCTCTCTCT